AATGATTGGATACATCAAAATTTTCTCCAACTTAATAGAGATAAGGCCGGCATACAAAGACAGAGTGTTAGCTCTCATCTTGAGGCACTCTATCTACTTACTAAGAGTCACGCAATAAATCTTGGTGTTATCCTGGACTCAGATTTAAATTTCCACAGCTACATCAAATCTGTAAAGTCATCTGCCTACTACCATCTAAAAAACAGTGCTAGAGTCAGAGGTATAATGTCAAAGCAAGACCTTGCAAGGCTCACCCATGCCTTTTATTTCCAGTAGGTTAGATTACTGCAATGTTCTGTCTGTAGGCCTTCAACTTCACAGAACCATTCAGAGCATGCCAAGCCAGAAGCAGCTGATTCTTCTGGGGGACTTTAATGCCAGAGTGGGCGCTGACTCTGGATCGTGGCCGACCTGTCTTGGGCAATTCGGGGTCGGTAGCCTAAACGAAAATGGTCAGCACCTGCTGGAGTTATGCACTAAAAAACAACATGTGCATTACTAACACCTTCTTCCGGACAAAACCGCAGCACAAGGTCTCCTGGCAACATCCACACTCCAAGCATTGGCACCAGCTAGATCTTATCATCACCAGACAGAGCCACCTCAAAAATGTGCTACTCACACGGTCCTTCCAGACCGCCGACTGTGATACTGACCATTCCTTGGTATGATGCAGCATCTGGTTGAAACCCAAGAAGATTCCCTATGCTCAGCCACCAGGGAGGATGCGTATAAATGTCAACAATACAAAGCACCCTGAGAAAGCAGAAGAGTGCAAAAAGGCACTGGAAAAGGCCCTCACCACCAAGCAGCCAGAAGGTAATGCTCAGCAAAGATGGATCTACTTGAGGGACACATTGCACAGCATAGCACTGCAGGTGTTCGGAAAGAAGAAATGCCTGTCTCAGGACTGGTTTGAGACCCACTCAGGCAAACTCAGTCCTGTGATGGAAGAAAAGCGTGCTGCTTTGCTCCAATACAAACTATGCCTCGCCCAGTCCTCACTGTAAGCTTAACAGAGAACAAGGAGCATAGCCCAGAAAACAGCTAGGCACTGTGCAAATGCTTACTTTCTGCAGATCTGTGAGAACATTCAAGCAGCAGCTGACACAGGCAACATCCGCAGGGTCTACGATGGCACAAAGATAGCTATCGGTCCTACGCTGCAGAAAACCGCACCCCTTAAGTCTCCAACAGGAGAGATCATCAGAGACAAGGGGAAGCAAATGGAGAGATGGGTGTAACACTATTCAGATCTTTACTCCAGGGAGAGCACCATCTCTGATTCTACAATGGAGACAATTGACAGCCTGCCGATCATGGAAGAGCTAGATGAAATGCCATCCCTGGAGGAACTACGCAAAGCCATCGATCGTCTACCTTCTAGAAAGGCTCCAGGCCTAAATAGAATCCCGCCTGAAGAGCGATGCATGCATCCTCAGCATTCTGCTGTATGGGAGTGAGTCTTGGATTACATACTCAAGGCAAGAAAGACGTCTCCATGTATTTCACATGCGTAACCTCCAATGCATCCTTAACATCCGATTGCAAGCTCATGTGATGAATGAGAAAGTCCTCAAACAGGCTCAGATGTCCAACCTCTATACCATGTTGCACCAGCGGCATCTTAGATGGCGTGGCCATGTCCAACGCATAGCAGACGGGAGGATCCCCAAGGACCTGCTTTATGGAGAGCTTGCCACTGGCACCAGGCCAGCGAGCCGCCCCCACCTGCGATTCAAAGACGTTCGCAAGCAGGACATGAAGTCCATGGGCATAAGAGGAGACAACTGGGAGGACAGTGCCAATGACCATGCCAGCTGGAGACAGGAGGTCTGGAAAGGAATCCAGAAGAGTGAAACTGTGCTGAGTCAAGCAGCAGCGGAAAAAAGAGCATGGTGAAAAGCACCCAAATCAGCCTCAGCAGGCAACAGTGTATTCAAGTGTAATCACTGCCAGAGAGTCTGCCATTCGAGAGTGGGACTTATTAGCCATACGAAGCACTGCTCCCTTAGCACCACCTGATCCAATTCAAATGCGCATGTGCCATGATCTCTCGAGACTGAAGGCCGCTACTACTACTAGGCCTTTCAAAACAAGCTGTTTGACAACTTCAGCTCATTTAGAATGCTGCTCCTAGGGTCCTGACAAAAACTAGGAAATATGGCCACATTACTCCAGTTGTAAAAACCTTACACTGGCTACCTGTCATTCAGAGAACTGATTTCAAAATCTTGCTGCTTGTGTATAAATCACTCTGTGGCTCAGCGCCTGAATATATCTAGGGCTGTAGTCAACCAAAGAAAATCTTGGTCGACTAGTCGCACATAATCTTCAACTAATCGATTAGTCGTGGGAAGAAAAAAAATCTGCACGTTATTTTTACTTCTGCGGTGCTGTGTCTGTGTCACTCTGCAGTTACACCTCCAAAACACTAGTCAGCATTGGAGGACTGTGTTAAGTGCTGTAAAGTTTAGTTCAAATCAAACTTTATTTATATAGTTGATTCAAAACTCACATTAAACACACATTAAATATGGCTTAATAGGGACAATTTCAAACACAAGTACACAAACTGGCTTCACTATAAATCGCAGAACTGACAGACAAACACTTGTCTTTATCTGGACACATTTCCCCCACCAATACAACATGGTAACATTATTAGCATAAGTCTATGGCATTTTACATTGTATAAACTAGCCTAGCGTCTAGCGATCTTTTCCTCTTCTCATATAAAACCAGGGACAACAGCAACATGTAACAAAGGTAACAGCACATAGTGTGGCTCCATTACATCTCACAACATTCACCGACAAAACAACTGTCTTATACTAAACACGTTTTCCAAGCAAAGACAACATGCTAACATTATTAGTGCCAGCCTATGGTATTTTACATTGTATACATTAGGGACGAGCAGAGATTTCCTCTGCTCATATGAAGCCAGGATAAATCCCAAAGTATAAATCCCTAAAGGATAAATCGCACACAAGATTTAAAATGCTATTTTAGTGGAGGCTTTACTGTCTTCACAATTTATTGTTTCTTATCTGCGAGTAAGTAAATACAAGCTTTGTTTCCACTGAGGGAAATGGTTTCGGCTTACAGAAACAGATAGGAGGTCTGCGTCACCGCGACACTGAGTGTGATGGTGGGTGAGTTCATCTTTCTGTCTGGGGTGTTTTTAAAACACCCCCATTTTCACAGGTAACTTAGCCTGTCCCCCCGCCGCAGGAAATAAAGGATTTATCCTTGAAAGCTGTTGATGTAGCAATTTTCTCCTTATGAAAGTAACACAGCGATTATTCGACTAATGAGAATTTGGTCGAACAAGAGCATAGCGAGCAAATAATCGACTAGTCAACCAGGAGACTACAGCTCTAAATATTTCTCTGAAATGCTTGTGACATACAAACCTTCTAGGACAAACGAGAACATCTGGAGCTGGACCATTGACCGTTCCAAGAGTTAGAACAAAACATGGTGAAGCAGCAATTGAATAACCTCCCAGATGATGTTAGACAAGCCCTGACTCTGAACACTTTTAAGTCAAAGCTAAAAACATTCCTTTTTTACACTGCCTACTCCACTCTGTAATGAAAATTATTTTAAACTCATTTTTTTTTTAAATTGTAAATCATTTAGTAACAAAGTTGATCATTTATATATTTTTTTCTCTTTACTCTTTTATTGTAAATCTGTTTCCTTTATTATGTTTTATATTTTATTCCTCTGCAAAGCACTCTGAATTGCCCTGGTGTATGAAATATTCTCTACAAATAAAGCTGCCTTGCCTTGACTGTTGCCCTGTAGAGACCCAATTCATTAAAACACACTTGTAAAAGGGGGAGTCATCACAAACAGGACTCTTGATTTATAGTGGTCCTTAACGAGACTTTGGAAACTAAGCTATAAGAAGCTGCTGATAATACAAACAACAAGGTTGCTTTCCAAAATGCTATATAGCTATTTTAGACTTTATTGTTTCATATTTCTTAAACAGAAAATGCAATGCAATAATACAACCATTTTCTGGAAAAATAAATAAATAAATGGTCCAGGCAGTCAAGTCAGTGGCTACACTAACATGGCACTGCATTCCCTGCAACATATATCAAAGGCACCTTTTCAATCATGGTGATGTGCTCCAGCCATCAGTGCTCTACTCACTCTAGCTTCTGTTCATGTGGTATTTTAAAGACCCACATCCACTCTGCCATCCTCCTTGTGGCTCTGAATCTACATTCGCTTATTTGTGATTATTATTGTCACTCCCTGCTCCCTACTGGGCTGAGCTCTGTGTTCTTTAGTGGAAAGTCTTGAGGTCAGAGTGAGTTTCAGAATAGAGATTGATGGTATTGTTAAGCAAACAATACTTAAACATTGCTGCAATTATGTCACATTTATGAGTTGGAGTTGACTATACGGTTTGTTTTACTTTCCTGCTGTGTTGTAAGCAGGCTTAGTTTTAGCAAGCTTTTTATTTCTAAAAAAGAGATCAGTATGTAATGGTGAATAGTGATTCATGGTAAAAGCATGGTCGCGGGTGTATTTTTCAGATGAGTCAGCGTGAGTAAACCTTCTCTCGGGGAGCAGCCAGAGTCACAGGCCTGTGGTGGGATGAGTCTCTCTTCTAAAATGTCACAACACCAAAGGTCATGATGACTGTCCTCCGAGAACAATATTCCAGTCCTGAACTGAATGCTGTCAGGCATGAGCTGAGGGGTCGATTACAAAAACTATCATCCTGAAAAATAAATTATTTTGAATATGACAGATGCAATTTCAAAAACCTGCAGCAGTATCTTTGCTTTCAGTGTTTTCTCTGAAAATACTTCCTTTAAAAGTCTGCACCGCACTTATCTGTCTATTCTTCAGATCTTTTTATTCATTTTCGACTGTACAATGCATCACATCTACAGCCGCTGCCTCCTATAGCCTACTGGACCTTTTCTTCTCTTGCACCAACACCACACACATACACACATTGTTCTTACCGTCCTCTCCTCCATGCCATGTCCTTGCCACTGGTTGGCCTCCTGGCTGTCAGGTGGCGGGGAGACACTCCGTCCCTGAGGGTCCACCCAACTGTACACATGGTTGGTTATGTAGCCTCCAGGGATCCGACCCATGGAACACACTGAAATGGACAGCTTCTTGCATCCCTTAAGCACCTGCATCATGAGAGGATGGGGAGGTTATGAAAGTGCTGCAATTGGTAGACCTCATGACCCCACACAACAATGCTTTTAAGGCCAAATAAACATGACAAATACATATGGCATTTGTGGCAGAGAATCTTGGCCTTGTACACAAGGGTATCATAGTCCAGACACCAGAGGAATATATGGCATTGTACATGTCTGCAAACGACGAGTACTTTACATTTCTAAGTTTCATAAGTATCATATCAACGATTCTAAATGATGTATGAACTGACTTTGTGATTTTGATGCTGTGTCAGCTAGGCAAGATGTCTGCCAAGCTGCAGACCACTGTTCAAGACCAACAAACAACAAAACTGATGTATTTCAGCAAGTCATTGCTGTATTTAATGCAGCTTTTTAGGCACCAAACATCAGCTTTTTTCAGACCCATTACTGTTGTTCTAGCAGGTTTTTAGCCCCACAAATGAGGGTGCTTTATAGCGCCCATGGCTCTTTTTCCAGCAGCTTTTTAACCCCCCAGACATGTTTCTTCTAAGAAAAACGTGTCTGATTTTTCTGCAGTTTTCAGCCCACAAATGTGGGTGTTCTTTGGGGACTGGTCGCTGTTTTTACTGCAGCTTTTAGCCCCCCCAAACTGATGTTTTTTAACAACCCAGGGCTCTTTTTCCAGCAGCTTTTAAGTTAACCACAGTGCTGTTTAAATGTAAAGTTTCAATGTATCCGCTAAATAATAACGTGCAAATGTAATATATCTGTGTTCTGCAAAAACTCCCAAAGCCAGCATTTTATCTGACGATTGGGTTGCTTTACTGCTGTCTACCCCTGTCAGCTTTGCTATTTTAACCACTGATGCTCCCTTGCTTTGTGCATCTGCTGTCACATCATTTAGTTGTTTAAGAGAGAGGGACAGAATTAGCGGAGGCTTTGAGGCCACAGAGCTGACTATCACTGTGAGTCACACAGGCGCCTGCTGAAACATAGCAAAGACCACCAGAAAACAAAGAGAACGAAGGCCAGAGTCAGATTTTATATGGATGAGATTCCTCTCCTACATTAAAAAAATGTGAAAAAATGTGAAAAAATATTCATAAATGCATAACTAAACAATTGTGTGATTACAGATGAGCGGACACGTTAATAACTGTTATAGTGCAATCTTAAATCACTTACTGTTATGATGTTTGCTTAAACTGTGTTACTGAGGGGTGTCGGTGGCTTAGTGGTAGAGCAGGTGCCCCATGTACAAGGCTGTTGCCGCAGCGGCCCGGGTTCGAGTCCAGCCTGTGGCCCTTTGCTGCATGTCATCCCCTCTCTCTCTCCCCTTTCACACTTAACTGTCCTGTCCATTAAAGGCAAAAAATGCCCAAAAAAATATCTTAAAAAGAAAAAAACTGTGTTACTGCATTAATGTTATCCAAAGTTTTGTCTGCTCATTTCAAGTGAAACCCAGACAGAATGTTGTGTTTGTGTCCCACAGTTTCAGAGGCTCTCTTTTTCCCTTTTGTTTTAAATCTGTCTTATCCAATAGAGACGCATTTTTCACACGTTTCATTGTCTCCCACGTTTCCAAACAATGTGGCTCAAAAACAAAGGGTCTGAAGGCTGTATCTTTGCACTATTTTTAGTCAGTGTGATGTTTATCTGAAAACAACTGCTCAGATTCCTGCCTATCAGCATCACCGTGAACACATTTGGCAGTTTCTGAGACATGAAAGCTGCTTACTTTTTGCATTTTTCTCTCAGTTTCTTTCACTGTATCTTGTGTTACCTTGTATTCATGTTTGGGGCTCTTTTCTGACTCTCTGGTCCATAGGAGCAAGCAATAAGTGGGACTTGCTGGGGACACTACAACACAAATTCAGTATTTAAATCTGGCTCAAGAGGCAGCTGGAGCAGGGGTCAGACGGTTCTGCTGCGCAATGGTCCCTGCAGACATCAGGGCAATGTGCCACCCTGTTTTTAGATTTTCTTTCTTATTTTCCGCAACTGCCGTTGGGGTTTCACTGTCCCAGAAACCAAGACAATAGTCTTGGATTACTCACATAGTCCTGGCTAGATTTAAATGGTGTCGGATGCAGCTGTCATTTAGTGTTTTATGTGATTTATGAAGTCTGTCTAACCTTGATTTTTCTCTTGGCAAAGATGCCAGAATTGTGCATCACCACTTGCTTGATCACTCACCCATTGGTGATCCTAGAATCTGGGTAGGCCCTGGCAAAGAAGCTCCCCCTCACGCCTCACGACGTTCCGACAGAAAGTGGAGCATGTATGATTTTCTTTTTGTCGTTCACAAATGCTCCCGTCACAGCCGCCACTTTGACCAATAGAAACACATAGCGATAAGCTGCCATAGACGACTGTATGACAACAACACCCCAGGGTGTTTGATATTTTCTCTAGGAACGTCACCACACAGAGTAAAAAGGGAAAAATGATGGTGTGAAACAGCAGAGGGACTTTATTAACCTGCTGAGTAACGTTAACTTACTGCCATTAGCATCAAGCTAGCAAACAATGTTATTTCTTCATAATGGAGACGGACATAAAGTAAGAAAATTAAAAAATAGTGGTGGGGCTTTTACTCACCACAACTGCAGAGGCTACCAGATTCATTTGAAAGAAACTACATTATCAACAGGCCGTTATTATTCACTCTGTATCTTTATATTTTTACTTTTTATCCGCTCCCATTTGCCTTGATGAAGTTAATGTATCGCGACAGCATTCCAAACTCAATGCTTCCGGTGTCTGTTTCAAATTAAAAGCCCCTTTTAACTTCGGTTAGAGAATCCCATAATTTTCTAAATAGGCTTTTATTGTGAAACATTTGTAGGAACTTGGTTGTGGAGGATTCAGTGACTTTTATGTGCGTATGGTATTTCAAATGTAGCTCCTGCCATCTGCTGGCACTTTTTTACATTACTATAATAACATTTCAGCTGGCACATGAACAGACACTGACTGAAATAATAGTAAAAGTAATAGAGATAGGACAAGAATAACGATTAGTGTGGACCTTCATGTAGTCTGTCATGTCTGTCGGCCAAGTCATGGCACGATTTTATGAGTCCACAATCGCCTGATGTGACATAGTGACTTTCAGAACGGACAGAAGTGTAGTGTGATCCAGACATAAAAGTGTAAATTTCTGTTAGGTCAAGATAAAAGCGTTTAATTATTCTGTCGTATTTCTTCATTTAGTTTTACCAAGTAGCACCTATACTGAGTGTTAATTTTCGTTGACGAAAACTATGATAAAAAAAAATTGTCAACAACTTTGAAAACGAGATGATGACGAGCCAAAAGTAGATCTTGATGATATAAACTAAGACGAAATCCATGTTTCATTTCTGAAACAAATTGCAACATTACTTCAGTCACTGTCATAATCATGACTTCTCCTTCAGTACTCTTGGCAGCTCACCCTTCTGATAAAGGACTCAGGTTTGACCCCAATCATTTGCTCTGCTAAAGTATCCTTGAGCAAAACACAGTCCCCACTGGCCCAAGGTCTGCTGTTCTATAGCTGGACATGACCTTTGGCCTCCGTGTGGATGAATTCCCTCAGGAATCAATAAAGAATTATATTAGTAATGTACCTCTATTTTTTCTTTCTCCTGTCCACCACAACTTATCTAATTACAGTGGCCTGTCCTCTTCTGTGCTCGCCTCCCTCCCAACGATTTGGTGCTGTGGGGTTTATGGATGGCTGTCCCTGCAGGGTTGATGGATGATCAGTGTGTGTCTCAGCACTGCGATGTGTCATTCCAGCAGTGCTGCGGCCATAATTCAGCGCTTACTGAGCTTCTTTATCACTGCCAAAAGTTGCAGACGCACCCAAGGACTAGTGTGCTCAGTCAGTAGGTCGAGATGCTCCACCACACACTGGATGTGATGGTGTCCCCACTTGTGATCACCATCACATCCAAACATACTGGCTGGATTTTTAACTCTGTGTACTTTTGACAAGAGGCTATACAGCATGTGAGCCTTGTGCCTGTCCATACAGATATAGCTGAGAGTACCTGAGCATCAAAGCCCCCAAAGCTGTACAGATGATGAATGGTTGATGGTGAGTGAGGTGAGATTTCCACCTAAATTCAATCAGTCAGCCTCACCTCCTGTCACCAACAAACAAGTGTGGAGCAGTCTGAAGGCAGACAGGAGGCCCTCACCTGTAGTCCTCAGAGTTATTTTCAGCAAAACCAGCTCATTCTCTTCCTCCCTTTCCTCCTTAGTTGCTTCCAGACTTTTCTATGTAGCCATTCTTACAGCAGTGTTTCTCTGTGCTTTTTATGGACCACATTTAACATCACACCGGAGAACTCTGATTAGATTAAAGAACTCTCCTTCATCGGCTCACCCATCTGTCTCTGGTCAACAATGTCTCCACAATTCACCAGCTGTTAATTACAGTAGTCATATGAGTGGTCTGAGTCACTGATGTAGGCCCTCACAGCCCCCCGACCTAAACATCATTAAAAATCTGTGGATAGACCTAAAAAGAGCAGTGCATGCAAGACGGCCCAAGAATCTCACAGAACTAGAAGCCTTTTGCAGGAAGAATGGGTGAAAATCCCCCAGACAAGAACTGAAAGACTCTTAGCTGGATACAAAAAGCATTGAGAAGCCCTGGAACTTGCCAGAGGGGGGCGCTACTAAGCACTGACCATTCAGGGTGCCCAAACTTTTGCTTCAGGCCCTTTTTTGTTATTTTGAAACTGTAAAAAATTGAAATAAAAAATAATCTTGCTTAAAATATTGAAGAAATGTTTCATCTTTAACTTGATGCATTTCAGGAATCAGGTCATCTTTTACTTGCATAGCTATTCACAGTAAATTAAATTTTGACCAGGGGTGCCCAAACTTCTGCATGCAACTGTATAGTCAGGCTTCACCTCCAGGGATCTGATTATCAAATCATGATTGTCATTTTATCAGTAAAAGTTGAATCACACAGTGATATACAACTGTTGTTTTTGTGGTGTTTTCTCCTGCAGGGCTAT